GAACCTCTTTCCATAAGAAGGACTTCTCCCTTTTCGAAACGAGTCCTTAGACTGAGATCTAGACCCCTTTCCGTACCTTGCCGGCTTGGTAGACCGTGGAGTTCGCCCTCTGTTTCACAACAGGTCCAGGACAGTTAGTGCTTCAGGCTTCGCTTCTTCAGGGGTGTTAAACGTCGATGAACTTCGAAGGACATAACATTCCTCTTTCTCTTTCTTCGGCTTCTTTTCATCTTCTTGCCTTCTTCTTCGGCATTCTCCAACCTCCATTCATAAAGCTCCTGTTGAAGGCGATCATTTTCACGTTGTTGCTCCTGGTACAGGCTGGTCAACTTCTTCATATCTTGTGACATTTGCCAACGCCACATGATTTCTTCTTCCTTTTCCTCTTGAAGGCGACTTCGATGGCGACATCGAGGATCTTCGGAAGCTTCTTCATCGCACCGCCTAAGCTCCTCACCTTCCTCCTCCTCGTAGCTTCCTGGTGCTTCCTTTCTTCTTCCTTTTCTTCCTTCAAGCCTTTCTTCTTCTTCTTCTTCTCGAAGGAAAGCTGGTCGTTGAAGAAGCTCCAACTGCTCTTCCGAGGAAGACGGAGGGGGTGCTTTTCCGAACACCTGAGGAGCTTGCCGAGCTGCGGCCCTGGCTTCCTTCATTTGCTCTTTCGTGAACAGAGGCTGCATCATCTCCAGCTGTGGAGGTGCAAGCGGTGCAAGCGTCACTGGTCGGCCCTTATTTGGTGGTTCGGCCGATTCCTTCATGCTTTCTTTTGACCCACCACTGCGGAAGACCTCCAACTCCGTGGTGGGACCCGTGGCAGACTCTGGTGGTCCTGTAGTTGACCTTGGGGGCGTTGTCAAGCCCTTCTTCATTTCTTCCTTTATCTCTTCCTTTTTTTCTTCTTTCAACCTTTCTTCCTTTTCCTCAGCTCCCTGATTGGCCACATCAGGAAGAGCCAGTTGCGATGGATCTCCATGCTCCATCGTTCGACGGCGGCGAAGCATGTGCTGAGAGGCAGGGTTGTCAAATGTAGTGGAAACCAACTTTGGGCTCATGACCTGTTGATGGGAAATGGTCGCGGTCCCCTCCAAAACGTAGTCCCTTTCCACTCAAAAGAAACACAGTGAACAAACTCTTCAAAGCTCGCTCCTTTTTCTCGTGACCTCTTGGTCGTGTTGGTGGTCTTTCGTGACCTTGTAGGGGTTTCTTGATCCCTCATGAGCAAAGGGCTGCAACATGAATGCTGCAAGCACGACAGCGAAGAGCGTTCATCAACATTATAATATTAATAAGTCCATGATATAAAAATCCTATATCATATCGTAAAATAACGCAATTAATGATTAAGAATAACATCAATAATAATGGATAAGTTGTTTTCTATTATTGTTACAGATTGTTGCAGTACAGAATTCCATATTTTGAGCCTTTTGAGCATCACCCCTCGTCAGGTGCGTTCATCTCCTGCAAGTGTCAGATCCTAAACATATCTGGATACAATCCCAAATCTTCAACGTACCAGCGCCTTCGGACTCTTGTCATCGGCCTTTCCCTGTATTCGTGCCTATCAGCAAGAAAGAAAAAGCAAAGGAAAGCAGCAATGGTGGAGCAAGCCGCTCTGAGCTTGGGGCACTCTGCATGTAGTGTGCTGACACTTTGGCCTCGAACTAGGTGCCCCATGATGCCCCCACCCAAATTAAACCACACTTTCCTCATGGCACCCGTCTTCTGAGGGCCTTGCCCGAGCAACAGCAGCCCTTACGTTGTCAGCATCCCTCATGAGGCAAAAGCACCCACATCAGCATTTCGTGAGGATGTTTGAAGATGAACATGGGGGGGAACTCATGTTGAATCACTAAACTAAACCCTCAAAATATCTGCAAAGTTCGATCTCAGCAATCTGACCTTGATCTGGAATGATCGTCCTTTGGGACCCTGACTAAGACAGCCAAGTCGCAGCTCTGGAATCTCCACCACTTCCATGCGGTGGACCGAATAGTTGGTCTGCGCGCTACAACTTGTGCCGGTGCAACAACTCCTTTCCCGTTAATTGGGGATAGTCATCACGGACCAATATGAAACGATGATGAGATCGTATCCTCCTTGCGCCATGTGGTCAAATAATCCATGTTGCATGTTGCCTCCATTGCGCTGGCAGCAATTAACACATGGTGGTCCTGAAGCACAATCGAGACGGCCCATCGTTTCGAGACACTAACTTTCGCAAATGGGTACGAGTACATATGAGTACCGCTCTGCCCAGTGGACCGTCCTTGCTTTCTTCCTTCACGCTAGAGTCTGTACTCGAAGCCTCCTGACCAACACTAGTTACTAGTTATGGCTCAGTAATATCACCGTAGAGCCAAACAGGGCATAAGCTCAGGCACCTCGTCGCTTTCATTAGACTCTTCTCCTTGAAAATTGCATTTCATGACATTTCCAGCAGAGCACTGTGCTCTCCTGTCCAGTTTAAATCGCCTCCACTGTTCTCGTGGATCTCAACTTCTTCGCTTCGTTCCTCTTGTCAAGAAACAGGTACCGAAGCTCGTCAGGACACGAGCAAATTCACAAAGGGCGTGCCTCATCCTCTTCGTATTCATGAACAGAAACATCTTCATCTTGCGGAGTTGATTCATCTTCTCGGGCCTTCGCACTGCTCCACATGTGAAAGCCCGATGCTTTTAGATCTATTTCGGTTCCTCTGCTATTTTTCAAGTAGAGTTTCATGAAGCGAGCGACAGGTCTGTGTCCGAACAGGGCCTGAATCATCTTCCGCGAGGGTGGGTGAAGCTTCAGGGTGTGCCTCGTCTGTGGGTCAAAAGCGCGCCCCAAAGGAGCAGAATTGCGAATTGCACAGCAAACATGGCCATCGGGCGGCTCAACCCCTTCATACTGTACCCAACATTACCTAACTTCTTCACTGAAATACACAAAAACATATCAGGATATATCAGGTACATAAAGTCAATAGAAAGTCAAGGTATGAAAAGAAAGTGAAAATAAGTCTGGAGGCGCCTGAAACACGAGAGCACCGTGCACTTCTGAACACACCGGGCCACCGAGCACTTCTGAACGCTCCTCTTCACCATGCAGTCTCACCTAGCGAGAATTGAACCTTGGGAGTTCTTGGTGAAAGCTGCAGGATGCGCCAAAATAGTGGCAGAACGGTGACTGGAATAGCACCGGAATGTCAAAAACAACATGAGCACCAAAGGTCTTTTCAAAAAACAGGGGCCAGTTGAGCTCCCTGTGATTGTCATGTTGAATTGAACCCTTCATGTCATGTCCTTGATAATATTCTGGTGAGATCTGCAGCTAACTTTTCCTTGTCCTTAGTGTCAAACCCCTGAAACAAAACCTAAAAGCCTCTGGTGGGCGATTCCCAATTCGAGCAGTTGGCCTCTGCAATCTTCTCTGAAACGACATTGCCACCTGAAGTCTACTGCAAGAACCCACAGGGTCCACTCAGCAAGGATCCCACTGTGCATGAGTCTCTACTGCAATGGTTCACCAGGGTTTCACCCGGTACAATTCATGACCGGCACCTATGTTGCAAATCCTTCGTGCTGCTGGCGGCACAAAATGGCTGGGTGCTTTGGAGATAAGAAGACTGGGTACGCAGTGACATTCACTTCGAGTGAAAGCCGAACGCTCGCAAACTCACGAAGCAATCTTGACATACAGTAGCAATCCGGTCTCACCTAAGTACTTTGTGAAACAAGAAGGCGCGGCCATCGATACGCACTGGCTTTAACAAACTTCCCAAACTGCGCTAAGACTCCATCCTCGCTCGCTGGCGTAGTAGCGAGAAGCCAAGCTCGGGTCTTGGCGATTCACAAATTGGACCATTTGGGCGTGGGCCATCGTGGGCCCAATGAATAGCAGGACGTTATTTCTTTTTTGCGGATCGATGTGGATCATACCTTTTCACTTGCACCGCTGTCAGTAAGAGTACGTATGCTATGCTTTCCGCTCACCTGCTTTCTCTCCTCGCAGGGCCACATGGTAAGGGATCTTCCCCTCCAAGTCCTGCACCAAGCTGCCGCCATGCAACGGGCGCAACAGGGTATCGCATGCTAATTATAGTGGTTTTCCAGATTGAAAAGAGAGGGTCTCCAAACCAACCTAGATAAGGAAGTGCTCTCGTACCGTGACAAGTTTGAAAGATACACTATAGAGCTCACAGGAGGCATCAACAATACTCACATCCTTTCACCGCCACTCATTGCTATCCGCAAAACGCACATGGGCAAAATCACCCGCCTCCAATGATATGCTGAATTTTTGAGCAGTGGAATCTCAATGTATATCATGTATGTGGGTATCCTCGCAACTTCAGCACCACATCCACTGTAGACTTAGACATGTTTACACGACCTTGTTTGCTCTTCTGGGAATCCGGTTGCTGATTATGCGCTCATTCGAACCTACTGAACACATGTCGTTGAGAAGCTTTCAGGCAAGCCTGAGTTTTACCTTACACTCCCTACAAGTACCTTTGCTCCCTGTTTGCCTCACACGGAGTTCCCAGTTCAGCCTCAATGAGTTCATCAGCACCTTTGAAATTCCAAAAGTCTCGAATGGCATAGACCTGGCGCCCACGGCAGCCAGTGGGTGTGAAATTGAACATCTACAATGCGTCGATGCTCCGACAAACGCTGCATAATGCTGCAAGGTATGATCCGAAAATAGGTTAAAACGATGTTAACGTAATTTACAATAATATATAACTAGTAGCGATGCCCTTGTTACTAGTAGCATACAGTAAAAATAAAGTAAGGCTCTTGTGAGTGAGGTGTGTGGAAACACGATTGCAAACACACAGAAGTTGCATGGCATCAGGCGAAAAAATGGAATACGTCGTTCTTGCACCCCCTTTTGCACCCCAGAAATGTATCCACCTTAGGGACGCTGAACCTAATGGAAACACGAGTTGAATGCAAAGGTTGGACATCCGACTTCGGCCACGGGTGGTCGCCCACTGGACCATGGAGGGGCACGGGGCCTAAATCAAGTCTTGTCAGGGAATCCTTCCAAATGCGTCTTAGATTCTACGGTATGAGTGGTTAAAATTTGGAACACCTATTGATAAGTGGATATTGTGAATGCATACTCCTTGTTGACCCTGCTGTCCCGACCGCCATTGAGGCACAAGGGTTCTTTGAAGGTAAAAGATAGCGTGACTTTGCGTGTTTTACATTGGTAGCGTTGAGCCTGTCCCGTGCTCTGTGAACACGGCTTGGTGGACTTTGTGAAGTCCGAGGTGATCGGGGTCTTCGTGGGTGGCTCTGGGGGCTACGTGGTGGGGCAGCGCAGTCGCGATGCCATCGCCGAGCGCCGTGGACGGCGCCGATGATGGAGAAGAACAAGGTGGAGATCAAGAAGATGAAACAACATCTCAAAGAACCTCTGAGCAGTCCTGGGGGCGAAGGGGCTGGTCAGAAGAGGAATGGAAGCAATGGAACAGCTTCTATGCCTGGGGTCCTGGACCTATTACACCTGTTTCCCAGGGTGACCCTTGATGGACCGCTTCCGGTGGAGATCCATGGATGGGCGACAACCGTCGGCATGGAGGTGGAGGTCAAGACAAAATCCAGGTTCCGGAGTACTCGGGAGAAGATGATCGCGATGGGTTGAAGGCCAGAGGGTACATCCGGAAGGTCACACCCCTCTCACGAGGCAAGCAGGCCCGCATGCTGTTACAACAGCCTGTCAGGCAGGGCCTGGCGGGACGCCGACGAGCTGGAACTGTCCCTCTTGGACACCGACAACGGGGTGGAGATCTTCCTATCCGGGATCAGGGACAAGTACATGGACCGGGAGGTCACGAAGGTGGGCCGCTACATGTCTGACTTTTTCAAGGTCCTCAAAAGTGGTATGAAAGAAACTCTATTAGCTCGACTTGCAGTTCATTGTGAAACTATCACCATTCCGTGTACCACGTCAGCCTTGCCACATGTCAGCAACTGGAGAGAACAAGAGCCGGTCAAGTTCAAATATAGCACCGTGATCAAGCACCGTCGCCG